AATTTAAAAAAGTGGGCCAGTAAGTCAAAAATGTCAAACAATAACATAACTATATCTGAAAAAAAAGAGTTTTGATTTGTTTTTCAGCATCTATAGCAAAATATATGTATTTGATGAGCAATTTATTTTCTATATTAATTGTTCAATTAATGACCGATGTTAAGCAGTTCATCAAAATGTTCATATATCAATTTATAATATAAATTATAATTATAGTGGTGCTGTCTTTCTCTGACATGTCACTGGATCGAAGTCAGGGTTGCCATACGTACGAAGAGGGGGTAGTAGAATCAGCCCATGTGTTATTTGAATACTTTTAGTCTGTTGAAATATTACATAAGCAAACTGTAGCCCAAAATGAATACTTATGGCGGTCCTAATCGGAGTATATTGCTTTCCTTATAATTATATAGTATTTATTAGTGACGTGAATTTATATATATACTTCTGGTCTTGACATGTGACTGTCTTATGATATTTTTTTTTCTTTGGATGCTGACTAGTCAATAATGCATTTCCTAAGTACAATTAATATCATAAGTAGTTAGTTTCATATCAGTGTTGTGATAAAGCTATTTTCGTTTGTCTATTGTAAAAACAAATTGCGTATATTAAGCAGAATTTTCGAAATCTATATTGAAAATGCCGCGTACGAATCGTGCAAAATGCGTTGCTTGCGATCGAACTATTCGAAGTCCAAGTATACGTCTTTTATCCACAAATCTTCTCAGAATTTTCGTATCAATTGAACAACGTAAACGAGTCACAGCCACCGATGCTATATGCTATAGTTGTCGATGGAGATACATTCAATGGAAGAAATTGACGATGGGTGATTTTGATCACTTTAATACCATTGATCAAGATGATTCGGAACCCGATGATGAAATAAATGGAAACGATGACACGGTAATATGAACTTTGTTTGGGTACAGCACTTTATGACTTCTCTCATAGGTAATGAGTGTTTCGTCTTCAATGTCAACTGATGAAGAGGATGAAAAAATGGATCCGGCAGAGAACAAAGGCACAACGATTAGTTTTCCTGTATCTCGTTGCTCGAAATCACATAGGTAAAATATTTTCTTGTTCAGGGTATTGTATTTTACATGTTGAATTCAGATATTGTATCGTGTGCTCAGAGAAAAATTCCAAATCAATGCGTGTATTAACAAAAGAACAACGTACCATGATTTTTCTAAAACGAGGAATTCTCGTACCTGAAAATGCTCGCTGTTGCTCTCTACATATGTATAATCGTCAACTCACTTATGAAGCAGTGGAAATGATTCAGCCTTCAAAATTTGATACTTTGATTTTAAATGGTGATGATGTCCAGAATTTAATAAACGATTTTCGATTAGCTATTGATAATAGTAAATCGTTTGATTTTGATAATCCAAGCAGTCTCGATGATGAGGCTTACAAAACAATTACTGGTCTTAATCGAGGTTGATTTGTTCTTTTGCATAGCTTTAGTAATGATAATTTTATTTTATTTAAGATAATTTTCATAATTTACTTGATTATTTAACAACTATGCGCAATTCTAATATTCGTTCTATTAGAGTTGCTCTTGCCGTATTCCTCGCTAAGTTGCGACTTGGACTTAGCAATCGTGTTTTAGCTTGTCTTTTTCATCTTCAAAGCAAGCGGACAGTGTCTCACATATTCCACCAAGTGCGAGAAGCATTGATGAAAAGCTTTGTGCCGTTAAATCTCGGTTTTGAACATATTACACGTGATGCAGTCCTCAATTATCATCAAACAGTCATTGCGACTGAACTTCTAACAAATGAACCTGATCAAATTGTTTTAATAGCTGATGCAACATATATTTATTGTCAAAAGTCGTCGAACAACGAATTTCAAAGACGCACCTACAGTAACCATAAACACCGGCATCTAGTGAAACCAATGATAATTACGGCGAGTGTGAGTATCAGAAAAGATCAAAGATGAAGAAAGAGAAAAAGATCTAACAAATGCTAGACGTTCTCATTATATACAGACGAGAACGGAGAATGTTGATCTGTTTGTAATTTATTGAATGAATTTAAAGAGATATTATTCTCTCGGAAATCGAGATAAATAAACCATCCATGTATAAAATGAAAGATATTTAAGTTAGTATTTTTTTTCAAGGAAGAGAGATAAAGCTGAACGAAAGCTAAGTTTTATGACACAATAAAAAAAGGAATAGTTTTCACTTGATATGTGTTGCTATATGAATTTATTAAAGATTAGGGATTTTTTGCTTTTTTAAAAATTAAATGACTTTTGTTTTTAATTTGTAAATATTAATATTTTAGTTATGTTCATTTTTTCAAAAATCAGAAACGTAACTTTAAATGCTTTAAAAAGGAACTTTTTATTCTATATCTTTCCTATCTGAAGAAAAAATAAAAAATAAATTAATATCTTTGGTGCGAACATCTAATTTATTTTTAAGAAGAGACCTTTTTCACGTACAAAATTAAGAATTAAGAAGTGTGGAAGAAGAAAGAGCTTATTGACTTGTTTTCAAGTAGATTGACGCAGTCTTTGGAAAATATGACAAAGACAAAATGTACATGAATCAATCGTAATAATTTGTATATAAAATGACCTAAAAGGAAGTTGACAGATGTAAATGTTCTTGTTGCTTAAACAAAAGCGTAATGTATTTACAACGATGCATATTTTCTCAGATGCTCAGATTAAACTCGATTAGGATTTGTTTGATGATTGATTAAAAACATATTTTAATACGTATCTAATCAGTTTCGAATTTATTAATATTAAAACTGAACAAAATAATCATTTTTGAACGGTAACCTAGTTCGAGTCTGCTTATGATCGATAAAAATCGATGAATACCATCGATCATGAATTATTGATTTTGAGTGAATTAGATAAAAACACACGTAATCGGTCATAATCATACAGCTTGTAATTGATTATTAGTCGATTATTAGATTAATATAATAAAAAAATAATCAAGAAATTATGCAAGTAAAGATTATTAGGAGTACTTTTTTGATTTTAATAGATGCAAAATCGATTATTAATCGGTCTTTAATCAAATTGCACTAAAACATAATTGATTTCGTATTGATTTTCGCATTATTGTTTTATATATCAAATAATTACTTGTATAGGATGGCTATATACTCAGTGTGCTGGGCCCGTTTTTCGCCAACTCGTCAAACAATGATGCTGCAATTTTAAAGCATTGTGTGCTGAATGATGAACAACACGTATTGACTTGGTTGCGTGACAATGACATCTTCGTATTAGATCGCGGGGTAAATCATTGAACAAAACAGCTCAGATAATTCATATTGTTTTTCTTAGTTTCGCGATGTTGTCAATACACTTATTCGTCTTCGTCTGCAAGTTGCCATACCAGGCTTTTTACACAATGAAAAGCAGTTTTCATCAGATGAAGCGAACAGAAATCGTTTTGTTACAAAGACTAGATGGGTAGTTGAAAGTGGTAGGTTACAATTTCCGGTGATGACTATGAGCGAAACTGCTCAAATAATTAATAAAAAGTTATTTTTTGCGATTTTTTAATGTTCTAGCGAACGGAAAAATAAAAAACTGGAAGTTTTTCGCACAAACGCTTCAAAATACATCACTTCCATTTGCTGGAAACTGTTTAGATATTGTATGCGCTATCATTAATAAATACTACTGTCCAGCCATTGCAAATATCGAAGGTGACCATGAAATTGCCGCACAAATGCGTAAGATGTGGAAGGAAGAAAATGCATTGGAAAAGTGTCTCCGAGAACTAAATCAAAAAAAACCATTGCGCTGGTCTAAACACAATGCTGCAATGTGTCTTTTCCCGTCACTCACAGAGGATGATGTACGGGATCTCACTTTTGGTACGTGTGAATTTATCTCTTTCCATTAGAAGATTTTGTTGTTCTAGGCTCATACCAAATCAAAATGGCAAAATCTTACATAATCGATCATCTTCAACAATCCGATATTAATAATGAACAACTTGAATTTATTGTGGAACTGTGTGAAGATCATGATGATTTGGTACGGGCAAGATTCCAGTCACGTCATTCAAATCATAAAAAACATATAGCTACAGTGCAATTTAACGAGAAAAAGAAACAACCAATAATTGCATGGTACTGTACATGCTCCGCAGGTGGTCGCGAAGTAGGTATGTGCTCTCATATTACAGCATTACTGTGGCACCTAGGAGTTGAAAGAGCAATGGTACCTGCATCTATTCATCCACTTTCAGGTACAAAATTACTTACCGCTATCGATGATAGCATGAAGTTTTCCGATGATGAATATAACTCCGACAATGATGGAAATGATTATCGTGGATCCATCGAAATAGGTAATGACACCAATGATATAGAATTGGATTGGTGATAACAATGGACATTATCATAACTGTTTCTCAATTAATATATTCACTATTATATTTGAGTCATTTACTTCACTATCCTCATTAACAAATTCATTCAAAGAAGGCTATTGAACCATTAAAATCTCGATGAAATACTTCACTAGTGACTAAATATTATTTACCATTTTCTTTTCAATCAAGCACTAATCTCGCACATGACCGTCAATATAAGTCGATCTACGAACTTGTTAGAGAAAGATGATACAAAAACATATTTATACCTTATATTATAAATTGATACATGAACATCTTGATGAAGTGCTTAACATCGATCATTAATTGATCAACTAAAATAGAAAATAAATTGCTCATCAAATACATATATTTTGCTATAGATGCTGAAAAACAAATCAAAACTCTTTTTTTTTCATATATGGTTATGTTATTGTTTGGCATTTTTGACTTGCTGGCTTGCTTTTTTAAATTCTTAAAAATAGTTAATTTTGTAGTGCTTGAAAAGCTCTACCGAATGGTATATAAGAGAAAATGGGTGCTAGTTAGTTTTATGAAAAATTAAATATATAATGGTAATTGATATATGATAGGAAAAGGCAAAAATTTTTTTTTTTCATATGTAGTCATGTTATTGTTTGACATTTTTGACTTACTGGCCCACTTTTTT